GTTCCTTGAATAGTTTTTTTTTTTTTTTTTTTTTTTTTTTTTTTTTTTGTGTGGCACCCGAGGGAACAATACCCTTGGGTACTGTGCATGAACAGTACCGCGGGTACTGTTCATGAATAGTAATAATAATATTTTTTATTTTATTTTTCAACCCCGGTGAACAGTTCCTGCGGGTACTATTCCCGCGGGCACTATTCATGTGAATAGTAACTCAAGGTTTTTTTTTTTTTTTTTTTTTTCACCCGAGGGAACAGTACTCTTCCTTTTATAAGGGAATAAATTATACGAGTTTCACTCCTTAATAAGGGAATTGAACTTTACGAGTTTTACTCAGCTCGTCCCTTTAGTAAGGGAATTGAACTTTACGAGTTTTACTCAGCTCACCTCTTTAATAAAGGATTTTTATTTACTATCCCTTATTGTAAGGGGACATTAATTATGGGATTCATCCAACCTAGGTCCTTGTAGTACAGGACATTCATTTATTATCCTTATATTACAGGGATATGGATTACGGGATTCATTCAACCCGGGTCCTGATAATACAAGATACTTATCCCTTATAGTCCAGGGATATGGATGACGGGATTCATTCAACCTGGGTCTTTGTAATACAGGACACTCATTTACTATTCTCTTATAGTACGGGGAGACGGATTACGGGATTCATTCAGCCCGGGTCCTTTAATACAGGACACTCATTTACTATCTGTAATGTTATGATATATATATATATATATATATATATATATATATATATATATATATATATATATAATGCTAAAAGAAAAAGAAATAAAGCAAGTGGGCCCCACCCGTGTTTTAAGACACACAAAAAGTGTACAAGGCATTACACGACCCACGACCCAATTGTTTTCTCTCTCTTTCTCTGCTGCATCTTTCCCCTCTCGGCATCTCACTGCTTCTTTTTCTTTCTGCAATCTCAAAACTTTATCTAGCTTTAAACTTTTGGATTTTGGTAGAGCATTGTGAAGCAAAGGTGGAGAGCTCGTCAAGGCCTTCAATTTGATAGGAGCCAATCATCATTTGGTGCACTCTAGGGAGTTCAAAATTCTAGGGTTCTTGGGCTTGGATTTGGGGATTTTGGGAGTTTTCACTTTCATTGAGGTAGGGGTGTTCTAATCTACAATTTCTTAGTTTTTTGTGAATTTTTCCCCTTAAATTTGATCCTATGCATGCTAATTTTGATTATCTAGTTTGTGGTTGAAGTATGTTTAATTAAAATGCTAAATGTGTTCCATGTGTTAATTGAATTCATATACACGACTAGATTTATTACGGTGATTGAGCATGTTTGGTGTTGACATATTGTATGTCCTAAGATTATGTATTTTTATTTATTTATTTATTGCTTTGAAAGAAAATGATGCTATGGTCAATAAATAAATAAAAGAAATGATTGCTTAGAAATTTCTATTAAATTGTGATAATGATGTAAATGAAATGTGTGAGAGCCTATGGTTGAATTGATAAATCGAAACATACACATTCATGCATTCATTGGGAAAATGAAATTATTTTGGGGAAAATATTTTTTAAAGGAGTTTGCGAAAACCGGACGCCTAGGAGGCGCCTAGTGGTCCGTGGTGTTAGTGTAGTCTAGAAGGGATCATGGTTGAGCTAACTAGGCCGGATGCGACGCCTTGGAGGTGCCTTGTGGTCATGGATAGTTAGTCAACCCTCCATTCGTGACGCATTGGAGGTGCCTTGGGTCGGATTACACTAACGGTTTTGGAAGTTGAAACGGAAATGTTTCGGAAAATGGGGAGTAACATTTGCATATTACACTTCATGACATTGTGGTTAACTTGTGATTGGGTGGTATTTGTTACATACTTGTTATTGTATTTGAGAGTGTGTGTTTCCTTATAGCATGATCCCTTTCACTTTTTATCTATTCATTGTATGGATTCATGGGGATATAAGAAGTGTGTGTTAGACACTTCCTACTGAGCTTATGCTCACCCCATTATTTCTAACATTTTTCAGGACATGGAAAAGAGGTGGCGGACGACGATCCACCACGATTTTAGACGAGCATGGAGACCTATTTTATTTTTTTTGTTATCTTTTGTATTAAAACTCTCTAATATTTTGTAAATGTATTATTAACTAACTCGTAAAACTTTAGTTTAATTAGTATAATGTTGTAAACCATGGACTTTTAAATTCTAATTACGCTTTTTGGACTGTAACTTGATGTAACCAAAGTATGTTCCTTGTTGGATGAGATGGAGGAATGGGATTTTGTATGTATGTAGTCACTTTGGAGATGTGATATAATATATGTATATTGCGTTGGGACAGGATATGTTAGATTTAAGGCCCAGTGAGGCCATTGTATTTATTTTTTTTGTATTTCAACAGGTTGTTTAGAGACATTTTCTGCGGAGGTCATGTCGAAATTTTTATAGATTTTTATTATTATTTTGGTATCTAATTGGGTCGTTACACTATCCCCTTTTAGTACGGGGATACGGATTACGAGATTTATTCAGCCCGGGTCCTTGTAATACAGGACACTTATTTACTATCCCCTTATAGTACGGGGATTCGGATTACAGGATTCATTCAGCCCGGGTCCTTGTAATACATGACACTCATTTACTATCCCTTATAGTACGGGGATACTGCACGTATAAACTAAAAGGAATTTTATTAAACACCATCATTATTAAAAACAAAATAACACGTGATGGAGCTACCCTCCATTTAAAATGATTAACTAAGATGCCCCCAGTCTTTTTTGTGAATGACTTGATAAGGCTAATTCCAGTCGCGAGACAATTTCTAGTCGGTATACTCATCTGAGTTATTCTCATGATATGTGCTGTCACTCTGGCTGAAGAACGATTTCTTATATTTGGTATTATTTTCATCCCTGGCGAGAGGGGCTGGCCTCTTTTTGTCTTCTCCTTCCTTCCGTGCACTCATGGTGTCTTCAGCGTTGATGTGTTTTTGCGCTCTGACTAGCAACTCTATCATGCTGGTGGGAGGTTCTTTTGATAAGGAGAACAAGAATCTGGAGGTTTGGAGTCCTCCTATGAAAGCGGTCAAAGCTACCTTGTCGTCCGCCTCTTCTATCTGCAACATCTCTGCGTTGAATCGGGTGATGTATTCCCGAATCGACTCTTCCTTTTGTTGCTCCACGGTAAACAGGTAGGTAGCCGGCCTTCTATGCCTCTGACCTGCAATGAAGTGGCTCACAAACTGCTTACTCAATTCTTCGAAGGTGTTGATGGTTCTTGGCTTCAACTTGTTGAACCAAACTCTCGCTGATCCATTAAGTGTGGTGGGAAAAGCTCGGCACATGATTTCATTTGGCACAACGTGTAAATGCATAAGAGCTTGAAAAGTTTCTAGGTGATCGAGGGGATCTTTGGTCCCATCGAAGCTTTCCAACAAGGGCATCCTGAACTTGCTAGGTAGTGGACATTTCATAACGGCGGGACTGAAAGGCAAGTTGGTCCTTTGTACCAGGTTATCTACGGCGGCAGGACCTTTCCCTTTCATAGCCTGCATTACATCTTCCATTTTTCCCTTGAGATCCTTGATCTGCAAGTTGAGATGGGTAAATTTCTTTGTCTTTTCCTTAAGACAGAAGGCTATGCTTTCAGGAGGTCGGGAACTCCGTAGGAGAGATAGGTGAACCACCTCTCTATGTCAGGTTCCCACCTGGCTTTGTTCCACTTCAGTCTCAATTTGGGGGGAATGATTATCCCTCTCTTCAAGATTTTCATTACCTCCGTTTGGACTTGAGAGATCTTGTCCTGGAAAGTTTTGTTGAGCCGGTGGAACAAGGTGTTGCAAGAGCGTTGCATTTTGCTGGATCAACTGGTTCATACCCTGACTAAGAGTTTGAACTTGTAGTTCCAACGCTGCAAGCCGTGCCTGGTCGTTTGGGACGTTCAGGTTTTCACCCGACTCTACCCTTTGACCAGATCCCTGCGACGGTGTTCCTTCGGTAACCATACCGGACTGCAAACGTATATACCCAACGAGTAATTAATTGATTCAAGGGAATCGTGATTCCCACAGATGGCGCCAACTGTTGAGGCTGAAATTCGCCAATCTGATACGATACCGTTTTCCTGCAAGGAAGAGAGGAGAAGATCAATGAACCTTGACGGCACCGGTGTGGTGCCTGCCAAGAGCTCTCCGACGATCAAATTAGTCACGGAGGTCTAAAAAGAAGGCAGGGATTCATAATAGTTTTTACGTCGTACCTTCTTTAATGGCTTGATGCCCTATTTATGGCTGTCGATTGGAATCAAAATCGTTCCGCTGATATCGATGGTTGACCTTATCTTCCGATTGTGCGAAATCATAGGAGATTTATTACCAGATTTGTCGGGATATGATTTAATCCTTTTGACCTCCTCTAGTTATAGTAGGATTATTCTTACTTGTTGAACCACGTCAGATTTGATTTCATTATCCTTGATAATGAAATCTAATCAATCTTATCGAGGGTAGGGTAGGTTTATATTTTTCCCTATCAGTAAGTATATTATGTATTGACATAGGAAAGGATGGTAGTGCCCTTAGTTGATCTCGGTTCAGGTAAGGACCCGATTAGCGATTTCGGACCCTCGAGTTCCAGTCGTTACATATATTGCAGAGGAGAGGAATCTCACTGCAACAATGTTGCATATCACTAGCGACCAACAAACAGCTAGTAGGTGGTGTTGGACTAAAATATAAATTCCTGACAAATAAAAAATAATTAAAAAAGAAAAGTTACATTGCTATGTTAACCCATTGAATTCATTGGAAGCATCATTAACATGTCCAGGTGATCGATGAAGACAAAGGCAAAAAAGAATTATAGAAAAGTTATTTTTTAATCTGCATTAGGTAACAATTATCGTCACAATGACAAGATTATGTTAATTTACTATAATTTTAATCACCACAACAATGCATATATAAACACTGCAAACACAACTGCAAAAGTCAGGTCTTTGTTCATGGAAGTCATGGCTGAAAGTATTGTAACAGATCTCTTCTTTCCGATCTTCCTCTTAGCCGTAGTTTTCCTCATCCTAAAGCATTTCAAATCTTATTTCCTATCAAAAAGTACTCTACCACTTCCACCAGGACCAAGTCCGTGGCCAATCTTGGGCAATATTCTTCAAATTGGAGAAAAGCCTCATATCAGTTTAGCAAACTTTGCTCAATCCTACGGCCCACTCATGTCACTGAGACTAGGAGCTCAAATCATGATCGTTGGATCATCACCGGCTGCTGCAGAGGAAATTCTTAAGGCCAATGATCGTACTTTATCTGCACGATATGTTCCTCATGTAGCACCAGCTAAGAGCCCAGAACTAAATTATTTATCTATGGGGTGGGCTCTAGAGTGCAATGATGCATGGAAGAACTTGCGTACTGTATGCCGAAGTGAACTCTTCTCTAGCAAGGCAATAGAGTCTCAAGCATGTTTGAGAGAGGAAAAGGTAGGGGAGATGGTGAGGTTTTTGAGTGTGATGGAGGGAAAGGAAGTGAAAGTTGGAGAAGTAGTTTTTGCTACTGTGTTTAATATATTGAGTAATGTTCTCGTGTCGAGAGATTTTATTCGGTTAGAGGAAGAAAATGTGGATGGAGGAATGAAGGCTCTGGCAAGAAAACTCCTGGAGGTGTCTGCAACTCCAAATCTTTCCGATTTTTATCCAATTTTCAGTGCATTAGACCTTCAGGGTCTGAATAAGAAGTCGAAGGAGTTGGTGGCGAAGATTTTTGCTGTTTGGGAGCCCAGCATAGAAGAAAGAAGAGATCAAAGAAGAGGGGATGCTTCGAGCCAAAAAGATTTCTTGGACACACTCATCGATGCTGCTTTTACCAATGATCAAATCAACTATCTTCTCATGGTTTGCTCTCTCCTCTCCTCTCTTTGCATATCACACAAATTAATATATACTAGTAGCAAAACCTTGCCTGCACAAACATATGCTGAATAAAAGCAAGCTTCTTCTGAACAATTTGAGGACAGTTTTGTTGAATAATTCATTTGAACTAGTTCACTGGTCTAAATTTAAGTTATTAGACCAATGAATAACAAGTCTTGACCAAGGTTGGACAGGTCTAGTTTCACTTCAGTCAGGCTAAGTTTTCCATACTGTTTGCGGCAGTATGTTCAGTAGTTCCAAAAGATTAGCATGGCATATTGTTTTGAAGAGTACTATGTAGGTTCCAAAGTTAATTTTTGGCAATTTTTAATTTTTTGTTTAAAGAGAGTGGCAATTTTTAATTTTTTGTTTAAAGAGAGCATTTTTTCTGCACCATGTAAGAGTTGTTGATTAGCATATTATTACAATATTATACTCACTGCTGGTAACATGTTTGCACTTTCAGGAGCTATTCACTGCTGGTACAGATACTAGCACTTCAACAGTTGAGTGGGCAATGGCAGAATTGATAAAAAATCCAGAATCCATGAAGAAAGTTTGTGAAGAGTTGACAAGAGAAATCAACCAGCATTCGCTGAAAGAATCTGATCTAGCTCAGCTACCTTATCTTCAAGCCTGCGTAAAAGAAACTCTGAGGTTGCATCCTCCAGCACCATTGCTGCTTCCTCACCGTGCACCTGACTCATGCAAACTGATGAATTACACCGTCCCTAAAGATTCTCAAATAGTAGTAAATATTTGGACAATTGGGCGAGACCCCATGATTTGGGAAGAGCCATTGAAATTTAAACCAGAGCGATTCCTCAACGCGACATTGGATTTCAAAGGGAATGATTTTGAATTCTTACCTTTTGGTGCTGGAAGAAGAATCTGCCCTGGTATTCCCATGGCAGCAAAGCAAGTTCCTTTAATACTTGCTTCACTGTTTCGTTCTTTCGATTGGTCTCTTCCACATGGAAATGATCCCAATGAGCTAGACATGAATGAGAAGTTCGCTGTAACACTGCAGAAGGAACAACCCCTGGTCCTCATTCCTACAATTAAATAATGACAATGGAGTGCTCCAATCTCCTTAGCTTCTATACTAGTATGATCACTGAAATAATATATTATCATCACAAATATGTTCCTGTTATAGTGGTGGTTGGAGAATGAAAGTTCAATTTCTAGTTTCGATATAAAGTTGCACTTTTCTTCATCAAAAGATCTCACAGTAGATTTTTATGTCCAGTTAAAGTGGCAAAATTTTATAAAGCTCAATCCGAGGTTGTTTTAGTTACATTTTCATACTCAAGTCTCAAATCATTTAAACATGGCATGTACACAAAAGATTGATGCCACAAGTGGTTTGTTTTGATTTCATTGTTGCTTACCTTGGAACAGTCTCATTGTGAACATTGTTTCTACCATTGTTACTGCAAGCAACTGTTGACTTGAAGGATATTGGATAACTTGTAGGATATAGATTTTCATGGGTGGCCACACCTTTTATGTCAATGGACTCAAGTAGCGGTTATCTTGGTAACTTTTGTTGCCATCTGTGTTTGGATTCAACCCAAAGAAGCTGCTTAAGATGACCAATTGCACCGAGACAGCCACGTGAACCCATTACTTTCCTTCATTCTCTTTTCATTTTTTTTTTTTTTTTTTTTTTTTTTTTTTTTTTTTTTTTCACTTCATTTACAATCCATCAGAACCCACGTGCAGGAGATCAAACCACAAAGAAATTTGGCCCAACAAATCTTCATGGGCCCGCGAGTACACATTACATCATCACACATCCTTTCTTTCTCTTCCCACTTCGACTACTCCTTATCACCTTTCATTAAACAATAAAAATAAATATATATCATACATATTTGGACAACATCAACTCAGACCCATTTCTCTTTCCATTTAATGTATATCATCCAACCATTACATCAGTCAACAAAAAAAAACAAAAGAAAAACAAGCCTCGTGAATGAACCGAGAAATGTGGCCAAAAAATCATTTTCGTGGGCCCCACCACACTACTTTTTCTTTTTCTCTTTTTCCACCTTTTTCTTTTCTTTCGGCTAGCCCACCTTCTAATCTCCATCTTCTCTTTCCACTACACCCATCAACACAATCAAACATTACATATATTATAAATATATATAATATGTAGCAAAAATCAAATACAAATCCCATTTCTCTTGCTCTCTTCAGCACCACCTGCCATCTGAAGCAAAAATATATATATATATATATATATATATATATATCATATATAATCAAATCAAACCATTAAATCTCAAATCTCAATTAGGCAAATCTCCAATTTAAATAAATACACAATCTTGACAACATAAAAATTATGAAATTAAAATCCTAAAAATTCGAGTTATCACAAATGTTGTGCACCACAGATACAGAGCTAGGATCGCCCTACATAGCAATTTGTTTGGATTATATTTGACATTTTTTTTTTTTAATGGAATATGTAGTTTAGTGTTTTTACACATATATATTGTGAATAAAGTGTATTAATCAATTCATGAGATGGATTGAGGTGTCGGGTTTATTCATTTATGCGATAGGTGATCATATGCGGGATTAAATGACCAATCAAAGAATGAATCAATAAAGCAAGTATCAAAGGAACATATACATGCCTTGCGTCCAATTCTTTAGTAGACAGAAAATGCAGGTTTAATTGACAATAGCGAAGGCCTCATGAAGGTCAACCTTTAAAGTATGTATTGGGATACAAATTACAATGCATTCAATTTCAAATATATGCACTAATTGACTGACACAGAATTTATCCACAACGAATACAGCCAAGATAGTTGGCATTTGGTAGAAACAAACTGAACACAAAAATCTAATGCGAGAGCTCTTTTGATGAAGAAAAGTGCAACTTTATATTGAAACTATAAATTGAACTTTTGTTCTACAAGAAGCACACTATAACAGGAATATATTAGTGATGAATACCAGATAGGAGATATGATTTAAGTGATCATACTAGTACAGAACCTAAGGAGATTGGAGCACTCCATTGTCATTATTTAATTGTAGGAATGAGGACCAGGGGTTGTTCCTTATGCAGTGTTACAGCGAACTTCTCATTCATGTCTAGCTCATTGGGATCATTTCCATGCGGAAGAGACCAATCGAAAGAATGTAACAGTGAAGCAAGTATTAAAGGAACTAGCTTTGCTCCCATGGGAAGACCAGGGCAGATTCTTCTTCCCGCACCAAAGGGTAAGAATTCAAAATAATTCCCTTTGAAATCCAATGTTGCATTGAGGAATCGCTCTGGTTTAAATTTCAATGGCTCTTCCCAAACCATGGGGTCTCTCCCAATTGCCCAAACATTTACTACCACTTGAGAATTTTTTGGGATTGTGTAATTCATCACTTGGCATGAGTCAGGTGCACGGTGAGGAAGCAGAAATGGTGCTGGAGGATGCAATCTCAGAGTTTCTTTTACACAGGCTTGAAGGTAAGGTAGTTGAGCTAGATGGGATTCTTTCAGCGTATTGTGGTTGGTTTCTCTTGTCAATTCTTCACAAACTTTCTTCATGGATTCTGGATTTTTTATCAATTCTGCCATTGCCCACTCAATTGTTGAAGTGCTAGTGTCTGTAGCACCAGCAAATAGCTCCTGAAAAAGCATACATGTTACATGGTAGATGAGTATGATATTGCAATTATATATGCTTATCAACAACTCTTACATGATGCAAAAAAATGAACTCCCTTCAAAAACAAACAAAAAATATTGCATAAAATTACTTTGGAACCTACATAGTCCTCTTCATATTGTTTGGTTTTTTGGAACAACTGAGCATACTGCAGCAAACAATATAGTAAACTTGGCCTGACTGAAGTGAAACAAGCCCTGTCCAAGCTTGGTCAAGGCTAATTGACCTTCTAAATAAATGAATTGAGTAAATGCACACTAATTGACCTTCTAAGAAATGAATTGAGTTTAGAAACTAACCACTTTAAATTTAATTTGAGGTAAAAATCTACCGCTCATGAGATTTCCTGATGATGAACACAGAGAACAATGGATACAAGTGATCATAATGAGCCATGTTTTCTTGATACAAGAATGTATTGAAATCTAGAAGAAAAGCTTTCATTGCTGACAACTGATATACTGAGCACTCTTTGAGATAAATATATGAAAGTCATTATAATAGTTGTAATGTCTGTGCCTGTGTATATATATATATATATATAGGTTAAAAGAAATTTTTTTTATTTAGCTGTGGGACCCACTTATTTTTTGTTATCATGTGCCAAATGGGATTACAGACCCATTTTTTCTGTTCCTTCTCTCTCCCCGTTGCCTTTCTTCCTCTCTGTTTTTCTTTTTCTTTTGCAACTTCCACTCTTGATTTCTTCCTTCATTCTTGGTAGATTTGAGAGTCGTTTGAGGCAAAACGAAGCCCACAACGAGCTCTATGCGCTAGTGTAAGCAATTTCAGATTTGGTCTTCCTAGGGACTTCGAATTTAGAGACCCATTTTAAGGGTTTTGGCTCACTTTTGAGGTAGGGACACCTTAATCCACTACCTTCTTGTTCCATTGTGAGTTATAATCATTTGTTGTGCCAAACATGCTTAATTAGAAGTTAATTGTATCAATGATTATTTTAAATGTTGTCTAGAGAAATTTATGTATTTGAATGTGAGTTGTTTTATGTGTAAAGCATGCTTAAATGTATTTTGTTATATCTTAATGTGTTAATAATTACTTGGGAGATATTGAACATGTTGAATGTTTAATTTTATGGTGTAGAATTTTAAATGCCATGACATTGAATGTATGGAACATATATACATGCACATACCATTGGGTTTGCATGAAATGGGAGAAATTGTTCTTGAAATAAATATGGGGAATTTCAGGGAAGTGTTTTTGATGAAATGGTTTTATGCGAAACCCAGTCGCTGCGAGTTTACCAACGGGCCGGAGGTTAATATAGCCTAGAGGGGACTAGGGAGTCGCCTTAGCTTGGTTGAGCTAGCTGGGCCCCATAATGACGCCGCGGGGTTACCAAGGGTCAGGGACACTAGCCAATCCTCCTCTCTTGTCGCGGCGGGGCTATCAAAGGGCGGGCTGTATTAACAGTTTGGAAATGATGTTTTGGATTATGAAAATGGGGAGCGACACTAGCATGCATTGCATCTCATACCATTGCATTGGATATACTTGAGATTGAATCGTTATGCTGTATTATTTCCCGACATTGTATGATCCCCATTTTCCATTGGCCTATGCTTTGTTTGGATTCACAAGGATACAAAATGTGTGTCTTAAGTGTCACCTGCTGAGCTTTAGGTCTTTGAAATGAACTGGTGGACGACAATCCACCTCAAGCTTGAAAGTTGTTAGAAGGTTGTTTGCTATTTTGTATTTTGACCGTTCTATGTATATTCGTAGTTGTGGAAATGTAACTAAGTTAGTATTCATGGCCTTGTAACTTAAGAACGAACTTATCTTTTGTTTGATGTAAAGGAAACTAATGGAATTATGGTATATGTTTCCATGCAATTGTGTCATGTAACGTTGTAAGACAGGGACTTTAAATATTAATCTTGTATTTTGGGACTGTAATTATGATAATTTAGATTAATTGGTGTGTGGATGTTCCACTATGAGAGGAACTATGTTGAGGTATAATGAACGGATGAATGGAATGCTGGATGATTTTATGTGTTTTGTGTATTGAGACAGGTTGTTGAAGGCCCATTTTTAGGGGAGGTTATGCCGAATTTTTTTTAAATTTTGGCATCAGTTAGGGTCGTTACAAATTTGGTATCAGAGCGATAGTTCGAATACCATTAGGACGATGGGTAGAGGCCTACCTAGGGTTATCTGGGAAGTCATTTGCATTATTATTTCCTTGTTTGGAAAAGTGTTTTGCTATTTGAAAAAGCATGCTTAACTGCTTACTTGCTTACGTGCTTATGTGCTTATATGCCTATATTAATGTGTTCATTGTATAGTATTACATGCTAAATGTTTGTACAGTATCTTTTTGCGTTGGGTTGTTCACGGTTGGACCTTAGTGTTATCGTTATTGAATTGTTTCTTTTGTTTTATAGAACGATGTCACGGCGTGAGGAAATCAGGGAAGTTGGCCCTAGACAGACTAGGGGTGATGTTGGCGAGAGCTCCAGCTCCAATCCGGAGGAGCTAAATGATGAGGACACACTTCTTAGGGACTTGATTCCCCCAAGAGTTGTCCCCACAAGGAGGGATAATGTTGAAGCACCCGTAGAAGTGGGTGAAGGTTCTGTGGCACTGGAGTTTAATCGTTTCTTGCAAAATGTCGTAAGGGCAACGATTGCTGCTCAGTCGCAGTCGGCACCACAACCTACAGTTCAAGTTGAGGAGACGCCAGCTCAGAAGTGTCTCAAGATTATTAAGGGGTTTTCTCAGTTGATGCCGGTTATGTTTGAGGGCGGCGCGGATCCAATGATAGCAGATGACTACATGGAGCAAGTTGAAACTCAATTGACTTCTATGGATGTGACGGAGGATCATTTGAAGATCATCCTAGCTACTTATAAGTTTGCTAAGGATGCCAAATTATGGTGGAAGTCGATGTTACGGAAGTACGAGCCAGATCCATCTCACATTTTGAGTTGGGTTGATGTAGACATTGATGAGGATGTTTCATACGAGGAAGGACCAGTTCAGATTCTTGACACACAACAAAAGGTGTTGAGGAATAAGACGATACCAATAGTGAAAGTCCTTTGGAGACACCACGGAGTCGAGGAGGCTACTTGGGAGCTCGAACATGAGATTCGCTCCAAGTATCCAGAGTTGTTTTTTCCCCAGGTATGGCTTGATTTCGGGGACGAAATCTTTTGAAAGTTGGGGAGAATGTAATGTATTTGTCTGTATATATATATATATATATAGCTTAAAAGAAATTTATTTTATTTAGATGTGGGACCCACTTATTTTATGTTATCATGTGCCAAATGGGATTACAGACCCATTTTTTCTGTTCATTTTCTCTCTCCCCGCTGCCTTTCTTCCTCTCTGTTTTTTTTTTTTTTTTTTTTTTTTTTTTTTTTTTTTTTTTTCTTCTCTTTTGCAACTTCCACTCTTGATTTCTTCCTTCATCCTTGGTAGATTTGAGAGCCGTTTGAGGCAAAATGAAGCCCACAACGAGCTCTATGCGCTAGTGTAAGCAATTTCAGATTTGGTCTTCTTAGGGACTTCGAATTTAGAGACCCATTTTAAGGGTTTTGGCTCACTTTTGAGGTAGGGACACCTTAATCCACTACCTTCTTGTTCCATTGTGAGTTATAATCATTTGTTGTGCCAAGCATGCTTAATTAGAAGTTAATTGTATCAATGATTATTTTAAATGTTGTCTAGAGAAATTCATGTATTTGAATGTGTAATACCCCAAGTTTTCAAAAGGGTAAAATGGGGATTTAATTTTGTTTAATTGATTTAATTATGTGACTTAGTTGTTTTGTTTTTTTTTTTTTTAAAGTGATTAATTGTGGTTGCTTAAATGATTTTAATTGTTTTGTTTCCTTATTTGAATTAAGTGTTGTATTATTATTATTTTTTTTAGTTAATTGGTGTATTTGATTTATTTATTTACGTGTATTAATTGGCTGTTATTAATTACTGTAATTACATAATTGGTTAATATAGTTAATTCACGGTTTATGGGAGCTGGTGTATCGTGACTTAGGGTTTTAGGTGTTAAGATGTAGCCGCCTTGTTATTTTGCCTATTAAGATGTTTTATTCTCGGAATACAACTAGAATTAGGGTTTAGGGTTTATAAGTCTATAAATATACATATGTACATTCTACCTAGGGTTGCAAACAAATAAATTTCTCGGAGAAACAGAGAGAAAATACAGAGTGCAATAGCGAGGAATTGTAGGAAAACAGAGAGTAGACCTTTGAGGATTTATAGTGAGGTTCAAGGGGAAGAACGGGGTTGCTTCTGGATTGAACCAAGAGCGCCGGAGGTGTAGAACAGTAGTCGACAACGTTGACGGAGAACTCAGAGACGGTGGTTTACAGTTTCAAACTATGAAATTGCAGGCAAGTCTCTGTTCTATTCTTTCCCCTTAATTCGTGTTCTGTGCATGCCTGGTTAGACTTCAGGGTTTTAATAAAAGATAAAACGGATTGACACAAACATAATAACATGCTTTCCATGCAGATATGAATTTATTTGATCTCAGTGAGTTAACTGTTTTGCATACTGGTTGATTTTCTGCTATCTGTGTCTTTCACGTTTAAGCCTGTTTTATTGAGATTAGTAATATGATTGGATGCCTTACAATTATTCTGAGAATGAGTTTAATCCCTAGAACAAGATTTTAAAATAGTTTTGAGTTTTACTAAATAAATCTGTTGTAAGTTGTCTAAAGTTGCTATCAGAAATTATATAATCGTTGCTGCAAGACTGGTGTCTCGTTCAGATCGTGGTTGCATATCAATGGGTTAAGATTACCTTAGAACTAAGATTGAACCCTAGAACAACCATTAAGAACCTTACAGAGGTCTAGAAAACACCGCAGTCGAAGAAGAAGCAGCAGAACGGACGACGGCAACTAAGGGGAGAAGAGCAGGCTCCAAGAAGAGGAGGAGCCGGCTCTTTCTAC